AGAGAAAGTAGTGTTTCCTGCCACTTTAGAGGAAGGACTCACATATTCTTCCTTCCATCAGTCTTGAAGGAGACTAGCACCCTCACTCCAACACCAGGTGGCCTTCCCTACCCCTTCCCCAGAGCCTCCAAGAAGGCCCCTAGCCTGCCACCACCAGCAGGAACACCACCAAAACCTTTCCCCTTCCTGTCCCTTCCCACCTCCCCAAAGGGCTGGGGACATCAGATGTGTCCTTGTTAGTTCCATCCAGCTCAGCTTTGGCTGGGGAGCTAATTTCAGGGGAGTCAGGCTAAGCATTAGGGTAAGTAAGTATTCTTCCTGTCTTGGGTAGTTTCTTCCCTGAAAAACGAGGACAGAGTTCTAAGCTTTCCTCTATTTCTTAAATTATAATTTAAAAATTGCTGGACTGGCTGGCTGCAGTGGCTCACACCTGTAATCCGAGCACTTTGAGAGGCCGAGGCGGGTGGATCACGAGGTCAGGAGTTCAAGACCAGCCTGGCCAACATGGTGAAACCCTGCCTCTACTAAAGATACAAAAAATTAGCTGCACATGGTGGTATGTGCCTGTAATCCCAGCTACTCAGGGGGCTGAGGCAGGAGAATCGCTTAAACCTGGAAGGTGGAGGTTGCAGTGAGCTGAGATTGTACCCTTGCACTCCAGCCTGGGCGACAGGGCGAGACTCTGAATTAAAAAAAAAAAAATCACCAGACTAACATTTACCTTGAGAATCCTTCTTCATCTTCCTTTGGTGCCCTTCTATGACAATACATCTGTTTTGGAAGAAAACACAATTAAGATTACCCATCACAACAACCGCTGTCTCCAAATCTGTATTTATTCCTTTTATTCATTATAAGTCTCATCCACCCGAGGACAGAACTTTTTGGAGACGGGAATTGTATGCTGTTTAACAGTGCTTTGAGTCTTCCACAGTACACTCATCCTTGATATCTTGCAGGCGATTGGTTCTAGAATACTGCCCCCACACCATACCAGAATCTGTGGATGCTCAATCCCTTATATATAATGGTGCAGCATTTGCATATAACCAACACACATCCCCCATATACTTTATTTATTTATTTAGAGACAGGATCACCCTCTGTTGCTCAGGCTGGAGTGCAGTGGCACGATCATAGCTCCCTGCAGCCTCAACCTCCTGGGCTCCAGTGATCCGCCCACCCCAGCCTCTCAGCTGGGACTACAAGTGCACACCTCTCAGATGGGACTACAGGTGCACACCACCATACCTGGCTAATTTTTATTTTTAGTAAAGACCAGGTCGCATTATGCTGCCCAGGCTGGTGAAGTGATCCTCCTACCTTGGACTCCCAGAGTTGGGATTACAAATGTGAGCCATCATGCCTGGCCCCATGTACTTTAAGTCATCACTAATAAAATGTATGGATACTGTACGATGGTGACAGTTGTTATATTGTACTTTTTTTAAAATTGCATTTTAGGTTTTGGGTTACATGTGAAGAACATGCAAGACTGTTGCATAGGTACACACATGGCAGCGTGATTTGCTGCCTTCTTCCCCTTCACCTATATCTGGCATTTCTCCCCATGCTATCTCTCCCCAACTCCCCACCCCCCGCTGTCCCTCCCCTAATATTGTACTTTCTATTTGTATTTTCATTTTTTTTTTTTTTTTTCAAATATTCAGCCTCATCTAGTTGAATCTGAAGATGTGGACCTGCTGATGCAGAGGGCTGACTGTATCTAACTTAGGGTCTTGCATGCACCTAGCACTTAATATATTTTATTGGCTGTTTTGGATAAAATTCAACAGATAATTCCTAATAAAAACTCTTAAAAGTAGGGAAAAAAAGGAAACCCGAGTCCTTCCTCTAAAGTGCCTGGAAAACCAGCCTGGGCAACATAGCAAGACCTTGTCTCTACAAAAAGAATTTTATAAATTAGCTGCCTGACTGTAGTCCCAGCCACTCAGGAAGCTGAGGCAGGAGGATCCTTCAAGTCCATGAGTTTGAGGTTACAGTGAGCTAGATCACACCACTGCTCTCTAGCCTGGGTGACAACAAGGCCCTGAGAAAGAAGGGAAAAGGAAAAGGAAAAGGAAAGGAAAGACAAGGAAAATAAAGTATTAGAAAGGAAGAAACAAAACTATCATTATTTGCATATGAAATGATAAATGTTAGACAGCCAAAGAAGCCTAAGAGAATCAACTAACATTTTATGGAAGTAATATGATAATTCAGTACAGTGGATATATACAAAATCAGGAGATCAGCATACACATCTCAAATACTTTTTCTATGTACCACCAATAACTAATTAGAAAATGGAAGAAAGATCTCATTTACAATGGCAGTAAAAATGTATGAAGTATTTAAGAACAAAAATACAAAGATCTTTTATCTAACAAAAGATCGATATAATGGAAACACTAAAATTCTTCTGAAAGACATTAAAAAAAATGAATACATGACAAGAGATATCACATTCCTAGAATGTTGTACCGATGTTAATTCTCAAATTTATCTGCAAATTTAACGTAATCCTATTCAAATCACAGACAGTTTTTGGTGGTAGCTGTTTTTGAGACACGGTCTTTCTTGTTCTGTTGCCCAGGCAAGAGTGCAGTGGTATGACCAAAACTCACTGCATCCTCAACTTCCCAGGCTCAAGCAATCCTCACACTTCAGCCTCCAAAGTCTCTCATATGGTGTCCAGGAAATGGTGACAAATCTCACAAAGGGAGTAGGCTCAGAAGGGCTGAAGTATTCAGGGAAGGTGTCAAGAAGAAAGATGAACTTGAGATGGCTTTTGAGAGATTCATAGGATTCCCTCAGGCAGAGTGAAATAAGGGCATTTTAGATGGACAAAGGCACAGATGAAAGCAGAAACGGGCATGGTGTGACCAGGGTATGGTGAGGGGCTGCTCTGGCTGGAATGGAGGGCTGCCACAATAATAGAAATGGTGAGTGAGGGAAATAAAGTTGGATTGGCAGCACAGCGTCAAGGTTGCCAGCTTATTATCTCACTCTTCCAATATGCTAGCACTGGCCTGTTGGGAAAAGTAACACATCATGTAATCGAACAAAAGGCAAACAGAGGCAAGCTCTGGGAATGGGTGCTATAAACAGGACTCACCCCAGAGTAGCCAGATGTAGGCTTTAGATCTGTAATGCAGATTGAGCATCTCTAATCCGAGGAGGAATGTCTCATATGGTGTCCGAGAAATGGTGACACATCTCACAGAGGGCCTGAGCTCAGGAGGGCTGGAGGGGAGACATTCCCCCTCCCCTGTGAACTTAAATAAGTGGCCAACTACTTTTTAAAAAGATGGCTACCCTGTAGTCCTTTAACTGGACCTATTTAGACAACGCCCTACACACTGGAGAAGGAAGACACTAAGTGAGTCTAGTAAGTCTACAAGACGAGACTTCTCCCTTTTGGCTTGTCCTTCCTCTCCAGGGTGATGGCAGCTCCGTGAGGGTGGAGATTATATGTCTCTCATCATTTCAGCATTTCCTTGAAATGCTAATTTGTTTTCTTGAAATGCTGAAATGATGAGACATAATCATTCATCATTTCAAGGAAATAAATTAGTGGCAGAGAAAGGACAAGTTGGTGAGTACACTCAATTGCTGACATGGTTTTGGGCGGGAGAAATTTTGCTAATTTATCAACTTAACTTCTTAAAACAGCCTAGTGGGATTAACTTGGTTTCAGTTCACAGAGATCTCCTGGAAGTGAGGGCCCTTTAAAAATTCTGGAAGACACACTGCAGTCGAAGAACAAAGCATACCTCAGACTTAAACGACTAAAGAAGAATGTCAAGGAGTAGTAGGTGGGAAAGTGGCTTTGATTTTCAGTTTGTGGGCTCTGAATCTACACAAAGACAGGATTACATTCTGAAAACCTGAATTAATTATTATTTTTTTTTTTTGAGACGGAGTTTCGCTCTTGTTACCCAGGCTGGAGTGCAATGGCGCGATCTCGGCTCACCGCAACCTCCGCCTCCTGGGTTCAGGCAATTCTCCTGCCTCAGCCTCCTGAGTAGCTGGGGTTACAGGCATGCGCCACCATGCCCAGCTAATTTTTTGTATTTTTAGTAGAGACGGGGTTTCACCATGTTGACCAGGATGGTCTCGAACTCTTGACCTCGTGATCCACCCGCCTCGGCCTCCCAAAGTGCTGGGATTACAGGCGTGAGCCACCGCGCCCGGCCAAACCTGAATTAATTATTGTCTTTACCTCAATGAGACAGAAAATTATAATTGAAATCATCACTATTACAGTCACAGATATTGCCAAGATGAGTTTGTTGTTATAGGCATATCCAGGAACTTCTTTAGTGAGCTAAAAAAAAACTAGCCATTTAGTATTTGGCTATCCAATAACATGGAGAATTTCAGCAGTTTTTTATTGTTGCTGCCACTTGGTCATAGTGAAAAAACAAAAAAAAAAAAAAAATAGAAACAACAATCTTTTTAAAAAAAACAGGATGAAAGCTAACTATTTGAAACCCTGGTATGCCAAATGAGTAGCTTAAAGGCTATTTTTTATTTTTTTGAGACAGTGTCTCACTCTGTCACCTAGACTGGAGTATAGTGGTGTGATCACAGTTCCTTATAGACTCGACCTCCCTGGGCTCAGGTGATCCTCAGCTAATTTTTGTTATTTTTTGTGGATACAGGGTTTCACACTGCTGGCCGAGCAGGTCTCAAACTCCTGATCTCAAGGGATCCACCCACCTTGGCCTCCCAAAGTGCTGGGATTACAGGTGTGAGCCACCATGCCAGACCTATAGTTTACCTTGTGTAATAATCTATTTCACTCTCTAAATAAGCAAAGTGGGAGATCACTGTCATGGCCAAAGTTACACGGCCAAGACAAGCTATGGCCTGCGAGTCCCAGGTTCTCTTGTGTTGGCACTTTCCCGACACATGCTAAATGATGGGAAAGTCCTGGTCTCACCTTTCTGTGTGGTCCTCAACTCACTTGACTTCTGCTCTTTCTGTTCACTCTGGGCTTCCGTGCTCTTGTTTATATAGTTCTCAGTTTTCCACTGGTCCGTATCCCATTCTGCCTTGGACACCTTTTCTTCTTGCTGTTCACTGAGAAGCTTCATCAGGAGGACTGTCCTGGAGATGAGCTTAGCACAGGCTAATTGCACACGGGTCTCAGAGCAGCCCACTTTCAAGCTCCGGATAACATGACAAATGAGGATGAGGGGACCGTAGCTGCTGGTTTAGCTGAATTTCAATCTGATCACCTGGGGACGAGAGCAATGGGTAATTGAAGTTTTTGGACTTGGGGGACAGGTCAGTGCCCACGTTGTTGTATTCCAATTGTGTTTCGTTGGTTTGTTTAACAGTTGGCTCTAAGTTGAATGCAGTCCCAGCAGAATCTGCCTCAGGAGGATTATTGTAGGTTGTGTTTTCAGAGATGGTGCATTTCCCATAAGAATGTTTTCTTCAAAGGCGTTTCCTGCAGTGGTGTTTTTAACCTTAGTGTTTTCTATAGAATGTTCTGAAGGAGCAAATGTTTCTGGAAAAGGACTTAAGTCTCCTAAATATGAAAAAGCCCCTTTTGAAGGAGAATTTATGAGGCTCTTCACTGCAGAGAACGGAGCCCTCTTCGCGAGCATTAGTCTGTTAAGAGAACTTTCCTTTCTGAACTTTCGACTCTTTTTGGCCTTGGGTGTTCTATGAACCACACGGGAGCGAGTTTTATGAAAGCGGTGGTATTTTTTTCTGGAATGTATGAATGGTTTAGCAGCCTTCATATTTTTAACTCTAGGCTTTGCATTTTCTAAAACCAAAATGGTGTAGGTTAAGTCTTTCGGTCTGTTTCTGACCTCAGGTAGGGCTTTTGCAAGGGTGGAGGCGGAGGGCCCGCCCATGGAGAAGGGTTTCAGCAAAGAGGAGACCGCTGTCTTATGCTCTTGGATGAACGAAGGCTTGGTGTAGACTAACTTCTCCCACCAACTTCTTGGGCCTATGTACCACGTGAGGCTGTTTCAGCTCCCTTGGGGCTGCACTCCCGGGCCTTTTTCCTTTGGCAGTGTTTTCCACAAATGCCTGGGCACTCTGTTCCCTCCTGATGCTCTGCTTTCCCCCCTTTGAAGTGCCTTTTCTGGATGCTTCTTGGGCCCATGAGGACTCTGTTTGCTCTCTGCAGGCTTTTGCCTACACTTTGAATCTTTGCCAAGTTGTTTTCCTGTGGTTGGGCAGTTTCTAATTTTGTCTGAAAACTTTGAGCCATTTAAATTTGGGTCCTAAGCCGGGCGTGGTGGCGCGTGCCTGTAGTCCCAGCTACTCGGGAGGTGGGAGGATCGCTTGAGCCCAGGAGTTCTGGACTGTAGTGTGCTATGCCGATCGGGTGTCCGCACTAAGTTTGGCATCAATATGGTGACCTCCCGGGAGCAGGGGACCACCAGGTTGCCTAAGGAGTGGTGAACCGGCCCAGGTCGGAAATGGAGCAGGTCAAAACTCCCGTGCTGATCAGTAGTGGGATTGTGTCTGTGAATAGCCACTGCACTACAGCCTGGGCAACATAGCGAGACCCCGTCTCTAAA